ACATACATAAATACATATCATTTTCAAAAAATATCTTGTTCTATCTTCATCCATGAGAAAATCCTACAAGAAAAAAATAAAATTAACCTTATACGTTTTACTGTAGAAAAGCACTGTACTGCAGCATTATTTATCTTTTTTTATCAGACTATTGCTATGTAAAATTTCTGTTATAATTAAAATATTTTCTATCTTTATTTTATTTATGAGTGTAAAATTTTCTCAAAATTTCGAAGCGGTTTATGTGGCACTTCGAAATTGATATTCCATTGTTTATACAACATCAAAATGAGCTAATAAATAACCGAATAATCAATAATGCGTTGACAACAAACTATGAGTATTGTATGTACATTCTTGAATACATAATACCTAAATCAATGAACAATTATATATTTCCCGCGATTAAATATTTGTATTAATGTGTTTCTATCTCATCTATTGCAGAATAATAAATCTGTTGTATTTATTCTAACATTATATTCATGGATCCATTATCAAATAAAGTAAAAGGTAATTCGAAACTTACCAATATAATATGCATATTAATTATAAATTGCAAAGTACAAGATCAAAATATACCAGCAGTAATTTCAGAATAAATCCAGCATAATACAAATTGTCAAAGATAATTAAGCATGTTTCATTTTCTATTAATTTTTCAATTATTTAATAAAATAATCATATAACTGTCAAAAAAAGTTTTCTCAAGCGCAAATAAAGTCTATAAAGTTTTACAAATAAAAGTCCTTTTTCTCTCATTCTCACATAAATCACTTAAATAAACAAACTAAATAAACGGAAATAATTGCTTAATTGCAAATAAACTCTACTCACCCTACAGATGCTTAACCGTTACTTGATACCTCCAAGGCTTTTTTCTCCCTTTCTCTTATTTGTTCGTTGTTACTGTTTCTTTGATGGCACTCACACAACTTTAATTCACAAAGACACAGTTAATTACAATCGCACGCGCACTAATCACCAAAATACAACGACGGCACTTAAGGCGGCATTTCTAACATTAATTGTTTGTGATGTGTATTTTATTACATCGCGACAAAAGAAACAACATGAAAAAAGATTCACTGCAATATTGGTTTTAGCGATATCTTCTTTAAAGATATATCTTTTGTTTTTTAACAATGAATAACGCGCGCATTGTCGATTTTTAAATGATAAATAAATCATATTTAATATTATTAACTTATCGTACATTTTAAATGATATTTTAAATAAATGAATAAATGTATTGACAGTAGGGAAAAAAATAAAATAAAAAAGTTCAATATCGCATAATTCACGAAAAACGTATTATTAATCTGTAGTCGGATGTGGCTTTCTGTAAGTTGAAATCTGATCCGAAACTGTATCCGACCGTGTACTATTATATTACTAATGATAATAATGCGGCGATTCGAGTTACAATACATAATAATGGTAAAGTCATATCTAAATCAGTGAATTCAACTCGATGTAAGATGTATTCAATTCTAAATATTATTAAAAAATAATTATTAGCCGCAAACACTGCTATAGAACAGTACAAGTCCCATTTTCTACCGATTTTTATTTTAAATAAATAAATTGTGCTTAGATAGATAAATATCTGCTTTAATAAATAATCATCGATAGTTTTACCGATTTTATGAATAAAACGCAGAAATTAATCGCGATTTTTAATAATATAGAAAATAGATTTCACATTACTGGCGCCTTCAATTATCACGATCGTAATTTCGAGGAATAACGCAACAATATGCAAAATGACGCATCGTGCGCTATCATGTGCCAGTCGATATGTAAACAAAGCTTTTTACTGTCCCGAAATATTTTATAAAATAAATACCGAATATTCTATTCTTTGTATCTTAAAATATATATATAAATATATA